CAATGTTGTTATTGCTTGTCAGTTAGGGATGCTTCTGTATTATGTGATAGAATATAATAAATGCAGATAGGCCTGGATAATATCCTTATAGTTGCCTGGTGCATTCAGTTATATTGTTGCCCTATTTTGTTTGCATTATTCGAGCACATTCATTTGCATTGTTGTGCAGTCTCATCTCATTACCTTCGATACTCTCAGACATTAACTTGTATTGAAAATGTCACGTTTAGGCAATGAAGAAAAAAGTCTAGACTGCATACCACAAACTATATATAACTCCTATAATGCCCTATGTGAATAATTTCGAAACTTTCGAAAGCCTTTTTGCATTAGGGTATCAAGAGTAGGTGTTTACAGTTACTTCCTCTTTACATCAGTTCATATTTTAGAGAATTCAACAACAACTATTGTGATATATTTCGACCAGTATATTTTTACTGAAGTTCAAAGATATGTTTTGATTTGGATTACTTTTGATGAAATTATGAGTTCGAAGAGTGTATTTGCGTTGCGTTCTTCAGCGAAGTATTGTTGTTTTCATCACAGTAACACCCTGACAGTGCAGTACTTGCCAACCGAACCAAAAAGAAAATAGATAAAATGTCGATAGCTAGTCCTTTTAATCTTCCTTTTATCCTCTGTTTTCACCAAGCCCCACCGAGCCTCACCCTACCCCACCCTTTTCTTTGATAGAGAATATCCAGTTGAAAAAGTCACACTACGCCACTGGTGATCAACCTTTATGGATCAACTACCTTTAAAGGAAGATGGCGTCAAAAAATGATGATGACGTCATGAAAAAACGTTTAAAAGTAAGTATGATAGTAATTCAATACATCTTTCAAAAGCACTGAATGTGTGCTATTCGAATATGGAACATATTTGACAATGATAGTTGCGAGAAAACAATTAAAAAGGTTCAAAGCGAATTTTCTCCAAGTTGATATCGTCATCATAAAATTTGACTTCCGCTCAAGATATTTTTCATTTCGTCTCAGATTTGAAATCTGCATAGTTAATTTAGTGCAAAAATGCAAGAAAAGTTGAAGTCAAGTCCTTGGTTGGTTTTTAAAGAATTTTCTTTATTTTTTTTTATGACGTCATCAAAAACAGTAACTTCCGATGATAAATTTTTTTGGCCCATCTTGGATTTATAATCTCCATGGTTGATTTAGTAAGAATGTGAAATAAAATTTGAGGTTAGGCAGTTTGCTAGTTTTTCCTACAAAATTCCCTGTCTACGATAATTAGAAATTTTTCTTAAGAAAACGAAAACAACCTTTTTCTCTACACGTATCGATACACTACCGTAAATCCTCCAATTAGCACCCACGCCCGAATAAGCCCCCACGCTCGAATAAGCCCCCACTCGAATAAGCCCTCACCTAAAAAACAATTTTTGCAAACAAGCCCTCCCCTTCGATAAATCCTCATGGGGGCTTATTCAAGAGAAGCATAACTGTATAATGATTTCCTATTTCAAGAAACCCCCCAGAAGACAATAGCTTTATAATAACACTACCTTTGACTGGAGACCAAAATGCAAAAAAGCGACTTTTGTGATGATAAAAAATTATAATGTTTGCTAGATCTTCATGCTTTTTGTAATTTTTCAATTTATTTCATTGAGAAAATTATGTCGTTTTTATATCGATCTTTGAGGAAAATACTAAACTTTGAAATAAGCAGCCCCCCCCCCTCGAATAGGCCCCCACCCAAACTTTTTTCAATACTTTTTTCTGAGATCTTTATTAAAAATTGTACATCACATGCCGCACTAAAAGGCCCTCACCATAGTTGAAGGAGGGGATGAGGGGAAGTTGGGTGGTCCTTACCCTGGGTGCCAGACTCGCTATATAAAATAATAGACAGTCTGGTCTAGTGCGCCCCATTCTCGTTCTGGTGAACTTACTTGAAGGAACTGTAGTTAATTTAACAGACTAGGCCTGTGAAACAAGACTGTCGGATAAATAACAAAAATACTCAGTGGTCAGAGGAGTTTCGGAAAATCTAAAAGCAAATGTATTTTATATAGTTCTGTAATGTCGACATTATTAATACAGTGAAAATAGACTTTTCTGCCTCAAGATTCCAATCAAATCAGTTGTAAAACGCCATTTGGCAGGAAAAACATGTGCGTCGCATGAAATTAAAGTTAGCACAATGCAGTTATCAAATGTTAATCATTATTAAATTTCATATACAACTTGCAATAAGTCTTTTATAATTTCCCTCATAAATTGTGTTTACTTCCAAAGTCTATTTGTTTCTAGGCACAATCTCAATAATTCCAATTTTTCTTTGATACTGCTTGCTAATATTATCCTTGTTTTTGTTTTTTCAATTTATAAAACATAAAGAAAGTGGTTGTTGTTATGACAAGTGAGTGTAAACATTTTGCATCGCTTTGAATCTTCCGAGAAGATTTCGTTTTGCGTGCTTATAGCCAAAGGACAGGTGATCAATTATTTTAAGCTATCTTTTCTTTACATAAAGACAGTTTCAACAGTTAGTTAATTGATTCCTTGTAAGGTGGATTTGCGTATTGTTTCTCTGGTCAAAGAGTATAAAAGGTGAAATAAAAATGTAAAGACCAGTTGAATTTTGATTTCCAATCTTGGTGAAGGAAAATAAGAAAAGAAAGGATGTCGTTTTCTAACAATTCTCTTTTAATGGAGAAGAATGGGACTGGGACTTTGATCACAAGTTCCAACATCAATGCAACTGTTTCGTGTCAGATGACACAATATGGCGAGAATGAGAAAATCATAATGCGAGTTTACTTGGTTGTTGTATTTGTATTTGCAGCCCTCGGGAATGCCGTCAATTGCTGCATTTTAGGTATGAAAACACTATTTGCTCCAAAGACCTTGGTTTAATCTAAAAACTTCAAATACAGGATTTGCACTCGATCAATTGCACAACATTAGATAACTCGATGTTAACAAATAAGTTATTTGTTTATTAATTATCTGTAGTACCATTGTTAATATGACTTAACACATCTGAAACTGTACCGCCCAAAATTCCTATTTTTTCTGTTATCCAGTGCCTTCCCTCTCCCACTTGTAAGCTTATCGTTGCCCAGAATATCTTTAAAGATTCTTGCACCCCTATAAATCGTATCTTAAAAATTGAACTATTATTTTTTCGTAGGAAAAAAGAAGTTTCAACGTGGTGGCGATGTCTTTGTGCTGTCTCTGGCTCTGTCCGACCTGATTTACACAATAAGCTTCCCGTTTATTTTCTTTTTACGAATGTCTGGTGTACAAAACCATCACACAGTTTACACGGCATCAAAGATCTTCATTTATGGCAGCATGGTAGTCACAACATACACACACGCTGTTATTTCCTGTGATCGATTCTGGTGAGTCGCATATCAACATACACTTCAACTTGCAATGACCTCAATAAGTCACTGCTTTAATTGTATAGATTTTCTCATTTGCAAACATTTTTGTTGATAGAATCCCGAAAGAAAAAAGCGATGTTGCCCTCGAGTTGTGGGCACCTACGGCTCAGATAGATGGTACCAGACCTGCCATTTTTTCCGAAATCGATAAGCAAATATAAAACTTTAGCCACTGCACCATTATCTGTTCACATTTACCCATTTCAGCGAGGAACAATTTCAAATCCTCTCCCTGCAGTTTGCTCGTAGTTTGCTAGTAGAACAATCTAAAACTTTTGAAGAATTTACTTCGACATCGTGCCCGAAATAAAATCGTTTGTTGAATAAGTATTGAAAATATTGTTTAGTGAGTGAGTACCGATTGCTTTGACTGCTTGTGTTGTAAGTAATTGATTCAAGAAGATAGCGAGATTTTTGCGTTGCTTTGTTATCAAATGGCAGAGTTTTACCGTAATTTATTTTCTAGGGCCATTGCGAAGCCTTTTCAAGCAAGAAGAATTACAAAGACAAAGAAACTTCTTGCCTGTTCCTTGGTTTGGCTGTTTGGGTTTCTCTTTTCACCACTGTTTTTACTTCAGACAGCAGCCCTGACAACCCGTTCCCAAATCGTTCAGCTGGTGAGGTGCTGCATAGGGTGGGTCATGCCATTGGTTATCATGTGTGTCTTCTACATCAGATGTGCCATTGCGCTCTCAGCACGAAACGTACCATCAAACTCGGGAGCCAACAAAAGATTCAAGGATGCAAGGAAGATCACAAAGATGTTTTTTGTTATCGTCCTGCTGTATTGTATTCTTACGATGCCCATCGTTATAAGTCTGTTGGTCAGAGCAGTTGATTTCTTGGTGTCCGATTTTAAAGGAATACGCTGTGGAGATTATTCTCTTTTGATGCGTGTGCTAACACATCTAAGTGTCTTCAACGGATGTGTGAATCCAATAATCTACGCAAGAAATCATCCAGACATAAGGAGGTTTTTCAAAGGCGTTTTTGAAGCTTGCTTCTGTCAACACCAATCTAATAGCTTGTCATTTCATAAAGGTGCAGAGATCAGAAGTTCTTCTTCAAAAGAGTCAAAAATACAAGACGATTAATCAATACCTGTGATATGTAATCACACTCGGTTTCTTTTGCTTTCATATTTATCAATTCTTTTTTAACCTTTTTACGTTGCACCGTCAGCTGACTGTTTTTCTTGTGATGAATTTATCATCTATATATTAACGAGACAAAATTTACTGGCTGTGATTATAAGCTTGGAATAAAACCAATTTTTAGCTGACTATTCTTTGAAGTATAAGATGACGCCAAAAATAACCTAGCTTTCCTTAGCTGTCTTTAATCTTACCGTATTTTCAATTATCCAGTTTTTTCTGTATTTGTAAGTAGCTGTTGCAACAATTCCAAAATTCCATACCACAAAAACCAAACGTTTTATTGCTCATTTCTCTTCTTTGTATTGGGTTTTCGTCCTCATTTAATATCAGAAAACCAGTAAATGGTTTGTACATACCTCCAAAGTTTGTTATTGAAATCGGAAATTACGTTGCAAGAATTGAACAAAGTTTTTTTATTAACTTCGTCAATATTTTTGTGAAAGGTTAATCCAATCCATCTTCCTTTAAGAACTGTGATTGAACTAGACACCTTAAACGACTGTATCAGCGATATGTGATTTCCTGTGTTAATACACTAGTGCTGCTGCCTAAATTCAGCACTCATATCTCACCTCTATACCACCATAAAAGGAGTTTATTGAATAAACAAGTAGCTAAAACTTTGTAATTGATGTATTGGTAGCAATAATTAAGCCTGTATGATTGATGTATGGGTAGCAAAATGGGGAAGCATAATGAAATTTTATTTAAGGTTTGGGATCGGCATTTTAGAAATCATTCAAAAACGATAATAATACTTGCAGTTATATTTGAGCAACTGTATAATCTTATATGATAACTGTCATTATAATATGATACTATATGATACAATATTGTAGACAAGTGTATTACGGAGTAATGAGCATGTATTTGCAATGAAAAAATGTTAGCTATTTGGCTTTGCTTAGTTGCTGCGTATAACTGCAAAAAAGTTTCCTTCCAGACAGTTGTGCCAAGTCTCGGAGCAAATGGGACTGCCTTTTATAATTTACTGCTTGAAACCTTCCTATTCAGATGATTGATTGATTATGCTAATATATTTAACTATGAATAAAGGATAAAATAAGAAGCTCTGAAAATATTTTGACTGGTCGTCAAAAAGGCACAGTTAGACCATAAAAAATAAATTGATGAATTTGACAATTAATTGAAGGATTTTTTAATCCTCCAGCCTGGTTTGGTATAACATTTTATGATGATATTCAATTTGAATTTTTATAAACAGTAAATTGAAGAGCGGACCTTCGACATAATTTATTATTTTAAATTAGATTATAGATAAGTATGAAAACAAGCTTCTGCCGAAAACTTAAATGCATAAGTGATATCACGAAAATTATTGATGCAGGATGAATTACAAAATATGCTGTTGCTATTTTATGAATTAAAAATCTTTGTTTTTTGTCAGGGTAGAGAATGAAGCTAGAAATTCTGAATGCTATCCGAGTGCACGAGAGAAAAGTAAAACCATAGGCTTTGTCTAACTGGAGTCGAGCACTGGGACATTTTGGATGACTTGGTATTTTTATTGAACTTGATAAAATATTTTTGCAATTTTGGAAATATTTTCTCCTAAAAACGCTTGCATGAATTCGGTACCGCTCCATTGGCAGCAAATACTTTAAACTTGAACAAAATTTTTGAAATTACTTAAAATTCAATCTTTGATAAAGATTTCCAACGAGAACTAAAATTGTTGTTTTTTACATGTTTATATGTCAATTGTTTCATGTTTTTGTGCATCTCTGTAATCTTAGCTGCTCTGACCATTTGCATCAATTTTGCATTTACATTCTTGCTGCCTTTATCTGTTAATAAAACAAGTTTTCGTTGCACTTACCTTAGTGGTATGGATAAATTAAACAGTAAAACATAGTTAGGATTGTCTCTGTTTAAATTTAAAGAGTTATTTCTAGCTTTTTGTTTGGTGATAAGAAAAGATTTATCTCGATATTTTGAGAGACCGTAACAATCTGCAAATGCTACTTTTGATTTTGCTATTTAAACAAGGCAGTGAGCTTTCTCTCAAAAAAACAGTAAATGCTACTAAAAAAATGATAATTATATCTTCCTCTAAAAAATTAAAATTGTCGAAGATGTCATTTGAACCAGTTCAGTATAATCCAGTTCAGTTTCCCAATTCAAATTTCTCTGCCTTTTTACAAATGAACTCTGACGATGAAGTGTCATTAAAGCTACATTAAGTAACTAGACCTAATCTTTTATCAACGTGAATTTAATAAACTAGGTATATTATATCACAGAATTGAAAGTGCTTTTCAAATAATAAGGAAAAATGTTTCCTATAAAATTGTGTTCTTCAGTATTTGGGGGACGGGGATGGACCACGAACTACCTACCAAGCACTGGTGCTCCTTCAATGTCTTTGCGCCGTTTATATATTAAACTTTTATTTAGTTAATGGCAATCAAACACATCAGCACTTGATGTCTTGCAAAAGCATGAAAATTTTCTGCAAAACAAATTTATAATTTTATTACTGCAGGAAAAAACGTTATCTTATAATTTATCATTTTCTTCATAGAAAGAGTCTGCACGAAAAAACTAACAGTCTGTAGTTGTAACTGGCCATTGCGTAGAAAGACTGCGGTGGAGAAATAACTCAAGCCAATTGCAAATTACTTCCGTAATTAGATGTGGATGGAAAACAAACGGGGACTTCTCTGTGACCGTGGAAGTGTAACCTTACCTTCATCAAAATATGCCATGTTCCAGGGTCTTAATCGCCTTTCTTTTGGTTACCGTTCCACTTTGGGGAGGCAATTCAGTTACAGATTGTAAGTACTTCTTCATATACTGAATTCCAATGTTACTGAATCATTGCCTGCCAATAAGAATGTTTTCAAATTAGTATCTTTGGTGGCGAAGGTGAAGAATCCGGTTCGGATAATCCGAGTAACTTCGTGTCATACAGGTCAAGGAGATTTTGTTGACTGCTTCAACGAATCACAGGTCACCTAGGGTCAGGGAACGCTCTCCTAGAAATTTGACATCAAGCAAAACATGGAACCTCTCCGGATTGTTTATGCCTGCCTCTTTGGTTCTCTAAATTAAAAACGGCAATAAAAATCGGCTAAGGAATAACAAAACCGCCATTACAGGGACTTTAGAGCAGAGAGGGGCTATAGGGGCCTATAGCCTCCGCTTTTGCTAGAAAATGTAGGAATTAAGAAATGGGCCATCATCAGTCCTCCTTTAATCGTTTATAGCGCTACCCTGTGTTTCTAAACTCTTCCTGGTATTTGCTTTACTTTCCAAGTTGTCTGAGGTTACTTTCCAAGTTGCACGCTTTTTCTCGGCGATGGTTAAGGAAATTCCTTAGTGAATGATAAAGCTTCTTTTTTCCAACAAAATTTCAGGCTGAAAGTGTCCACAATATTCTTTGAAAAGTAGCGGAAGTGTTTGAGTGCGGTTTTATAATCTGTATGTCTGATTGTTATATGGTTAAAGGGCTAAAAAACGTATTTGTTGTGTAAAGTTTCACGCTGTGTCCAAACAGTAATCTTGTTATAAGTTACGCCCTTATGACCTCTATCTTACTGACTGTGATAACAGCATAAATCTTCGGACATCTACTAAGTTTGATGCACTGAGAAAAAATATAAATGTTATAGGCTTCGTGGATGTTTTTTGTCTGCAGCGCAGGCTAGGCTTAAGGACAGTTCAGTGAAAAAACCAACATACAGAAAGCAACAGGAACGTTATGTGTGATGAACAAGAATTCATTTTTGCAATGAATATCTTGTTCACCAGAAGTATAACAGGAGGGCCAAAAGATGCAAAATCGAAGTAAAACAAGCTAAATTACGACCATCAGCCTTTTTATTCCACGTTCTTGAAAACTGCAGAACCACCATTTTGGTGACGTCATGCAAACTTTTAATAGCAATAACTCGTTATATGCATATTTAATAGAGTTTAAAATTTAGAACTTTATTCTCTTATTACAATGCCTAGCAAGATAGTTTGAGTGATTTTTCAGAAAAAAAAGTAAATAATATTGATGGCCGTAGAAAATAACGTCATTGATCACTTGATTTCTGTTTCTCTTAAAATCCCCAGCCAGGCACGTATATACTGGGGGGTGTAGGGGGGGTGTGAGGGGGGGTGTGACACCCCCCTATCTTTCATCAAGTCGGAAAATTTGAGGACAGTCGGAAAATTTAAAGATGTTGGTAGAAAGCTACAATGCCTGCCAAAAGTACTTCGAACACCTAGCAATTTACGCTGCATTTGATATCTTT